AAGACATTTCTTCAGCAAGTGAGGTTTCAACTAAACAAAATTAATAAAAACACTTATTGAGGGGAAAGGACATGATAATTTTCAAAATCACCATTTACAATATTTGACCACTAAAATATTATTTTTGTGTTTATGATTAATAATACCAACTAAAGAGAACCATAAAACTGTAGTACAACAGAAAATATTGTACACATTGTTTTAAAGTATTTTTATGTATATTTTCGCGTTTGTATTTTTTTTCAAAATCCAATTTTTTCCTATTTGTATAAATAATTTATATTTGTGAAAAAAATATTCCTTGTATTTTAGTTTATTTGGTACTAAAATCACAAATGTACGCCAATTTTCTTGGTGTACGACTATTATCTGTTGGTCTTTAGATTAAAAAAGCAAAAAAAAATGTTGACAAATAATGTTTCTTTGAAAACTTAAAATGATGAAAATTGATAAAAATTAACTATGTATTCATGGTTTTGATTACTGATAAGTGATTTTTGTTATAGGTGTTTGTAACAAAAATAAAAATTACATTTACTTAAAAAAATCAAGTTGTAATTAACTGAAGACTCTATGACAAAAATGTTTTTATTATACTTAATAAATGTGTTATTATAAAGTACGTCTGTATTTAGAACTTTTTTATATTTTTTGTTTAGATTTTATAATTAATTTCATTAAAGTTTAAAATTAATGTATTGTTCGTATTTATATTGTATTTTCTCGAAATCTTTATAATGTTTCATTTGTATATCAATAATTAAAATAACTCATAATCAGATTTAAACTAAATTATTGATAAAATGTATAGGCGAAAATGTATTGGCGATAAAATTTTTAAAATTAATAGTATATTTTCATTATCTACAATATTAAATATATTAAATATATTGTACAAATACAATAAAAACAAATATTGGTATTTATTATTTAGCTTATTAAAATTATTAATCAAATATACAATCATTTTTATTAGAATTTATATAAAAAATGCAAAGTAATTTATGTTATTAAATTGTGTTATTAACATGTTGTTATAAATTAAAATCTATTCAACAAAAATTATTATTATAAAATTGTGATACATTTATTTATTTTTCGAAATAATAATAAAATAAACAGATTCTAGTCATTTTGTAATGATATTCTCAAATAATTTTTTATCAGGTTTTATTAAAAGCCAAAATTAGTAATTTACATTATTGATTCTTTCCAAATAAAATTGAAATTTCTAAACATTTTGACTTGTAATTATTCGATCTTTTATTATAAATTTTTAATAAAATACAAAACATTTAATGAAAGTTAAGGTAGTTCCCTTTATATATAATCCGGTATAGTAATTTGTATTATATTAAATAATACACATTCGTGTTTTTTGTTATATAACGGCCATTCGTATATTCCGAATTATTGAAAACATTATTTCAACTCAAAAAGAAATAATCAAACGAATGTTCCTCTTAATTTGCCTCTTTTCGATATCATTAGCTTCGAAAGGTACAAGCATATATCATGACACGGCTCTTTCAACCCTTTCATGTTTGAAGAGTAGTAAGCTCTTGGACTTTGTCATCCGTAAAGCTGTTGCCCCATATCCAGATATGAGTTGTGTATATACTGTACAAGAAGCACTTAACCTTGGACTAACTGCCTCTAACATTGACATTCTATTTGAGCCTTCGATGACGTCTTCAGAGTCTGCAGAAACACAAGTCACCAATTTAGTCAACTTTCTGAAGAGCACCAATGTTGCATATACAAGGATATGGTATTCCACATACACCACTTGGAAATCGTCAAAGACTGAAAACACCGCATTTTTGGAAAAAATGATGGCAAAAGCAATTTCACTTGGAAAGGCGGGCATTGTTGGGAGTAAAGAGATGTGGAGCACTAATTTTGGTGCTTCATACACTTATAAAGATGCAGCAAGTGTTCCATTGTGGTATGTAAGTCCAGATGGAGATGCGTCATTTGGCAATTTTGTTGCTTTTGGAGGGTGGAGTAAACCCACTATGAAAACATACGAAAAGAATGTTTGGTACTGTAGTCTCACTGAAGATTTAGTCTATCGTGCTTAAAATTTTTTCGTTGATTTTTTTTTATGTTTATTCGTCGAAATACGAATATGTCTAAAATAATACAAAATAAATAATAAACTGTTTTTTTCATAACTTTCTATATTAACATGATTTCAATAATTAAATAATAATAAATTACCACGTTTTAAATTATAAATGACATCAGAAAACAGTTAAATATCATAGTTTACAGTACCTTACGATTTTATTATATAAATATTATTTAAATAAATAATGAATAAACTTTTCGATGGAAAACGCAGTTTTTGTTTGACTTGTGTATGTTCAACTTTTTCTTATCTATTATTAATAATAAAGTCTCAAATATTAAGCTCTTGTTCATCTTTTTCAAATAATATTGTGAATTTAAAATTTGAATAAATTTTAATTTTAATTTTTGGTTCCATTTTTAATTAAATAAAATAATAGAAATAAATTGTAATATAATAAATATTAGTAATATTTATTAAATTATTAGTATAATTAATTAACTATTTTAAAGGTTTATTGTATAATTTAGATTTTAAAAAACAATTAAATTGTTTTAACTGTTTTTGTTATTAAAAACAAACAATGCTGTTTTTATCTTTTATTTATCAAAATGTAATTTATTTGCGAAATGCCGATGAAAACAAGATTATAACAATTTTTATTTTATAAATAAATTTTACTATTATTTTTAATTTATTAATTTTTTATTAATTTAAAATCTAGTAATTTTTAATTATAAAAAGGTGTAAGTTTGTTTTCTTGTTTCAATTCTTTTTATAGAAGTGGACCCTAATGCAGTTGATTATTTAATTTAATATAATTATAAAATTATTATAAACAAATAATAATTATAATAATACTATAAGATTGGTATATCTTTAATAAAATAAATAATAAATAT